CAGTACGGAAGAAGATACATTTACGTTCTGTAAAATTAAGATACTTCGTTGTATTTTAATTTTGTATTTGTAAATTATGTACATTTAATTAAGTTATTGTTAATTATCTATTGGTTAAATGTAAGTGGCTGTTGTTCAGGACGAACAATACTAAGGAAGGGGCAGTGTTACGACAGCGGAAGTCACGCAATTCTGGAAGCATGCGCGCTGGAGTTTCTCGAAGGATCATGAAATTGCCCGCCAGCTCGAGTGCGATCTAGATGCCCTCTTTTTAGTATATATAAACCTGGCAAAGAAAGCCAGCGGCAGATAGATAATTGAGTCAAGAGAACAGTAGGCACCGTAAGTAAAGTGTGATTTATAGCGTGTATTATAAAGGTTGTTAAGTTTAAAGTGACTGTTGAAATTCTGTGTATTACAAAAAGTTGTATCGAGAAAGAATAAACTGGTTTAATCAAGAAAGGACTTGTATCCTGAAGTTCCTCGGAAAGAATTTCTACTAGAAATTATCAAACAGACAGATACGTAACATATATTTTTCATAATTTTCTGCGTCCTTTTCTTGTACTTCGGAGTTGTTCGTGGGGTTTCCATACTTGAAGTTCTTTTTTAAATAAGCCTGACTGTCAGCCTAACTTTCAACAAATAATTACAAAGTATAATTAATAAAAATAAGTTGTGTAAAACAAAATGCCACAATGATTTATGTCAAGCTATAAGAACGTAATATTAATAGAGAACACAAACAGACGTTGTCTCAACGGTAAGTCTACGGACTTATAAGGCTAAAAATCCGTTTTCGATACCCGTGGTGGGCATAGCACAGATAGTCCATTGAGTAGCTTTGCGCTCAATTACAAACAAACAAACTAACTGACCAAAAAAAAATATTAAGCTGTGTATACCTTTATAATATACGAAAATATTTCAATGCATAATAAAACTAAAAGTTGACCCAAGTATTAAGCATTTATTATAGGAATTCGATAATGTCAAACACTGCAATAACCAGTATTAGTAATAATTGTAACTTAGTTAAAAAATACCTTGAGATAACACGTTTCTTATGTTTGTTATGTTTATTTATTATATATTACCAGCGAAGCGATGCTAAGCGCTCCGAGAGATAAGTATTACTGTGAGTGCATTTATTACCTTGCCTCTATAAAAAGTTTAGTTTGTTTATTGTTAAGCACAAAGCTTTACATTTGCTACATGTGCTTTGCCCAACACGAGTATCGAAACCTGGTTTTGAGCGTCGTAAGCCTACAGACTTGTCGCTGAGCCACTGGGAGGCACCTTTATAGAAATAATTGAAGTGCTTGACACGGATGAAGCATTCTAACTAATCTAAGCATGGACCAAATGTGAGCAAGAGGGATGAAGTCGAATAATGATTTGTTTCATGGCATATTTATCTGCCTTAGTTGAACTCTCACACTTTATTACCAAATCTGCTGATGACGAGAAGTGAAAGAGTAATTCGCCATTTGCATTTGATAAAGATACCAAGTTTCAGAAATGTGTTTTTGGCATCTTTTTATTTAATGTCAGTGATAAAATGTTATTTGAAAATTTTAATATAGCCCTTATTGAAGTTATTCAGTAAAACTAAGACTAATGTCATGAGCACAGACTAAGGGAATTCCGTGAAGCGTAAGTGGAGTTCTGGGACTGGGAGGCTGAGTAGGAGCCTGTTAGTGTTACACTGACATTTTCAATTTCAGGGCTTTGGTGATTAATTTTGCGTTTTCATTGTCTTTGAATTTAATTACTCAACAGTAATTTCAACTTCATAGTATGTATAAAGTATAACTTAGGCTATATTATAAATATATTAATTTTGCAGATAGTATAAAAGCTTATTATTATAAAAGTAAAGTGTTAGTAACACAACCAAGGTATAATAAATACTTTTTTTTTATTGGGTACACAAAAACTAGTAAGTTGTTTATTTTTTTATATGACACAGTATCAAAAATAAGGGATGAATCTTAACAACACTTACAATGGTACTGTGTTAGTACCATATTAGTAGTAAAATTGACAATTAAACTAAGAACATGCAAATGATGTTTGTGCAAGCATACCTTTTGTAAATAGAACTTTACAAGTGGTTTAGCCTTACATTTGTAAAGACAAGATAGATGATAATCTATTGTATAAATTTTAAATAAGGTTTCAGTTGGCTGTCATTTGCATTTCTAACTTGTGTGTCAGACTTCTTGGTAGTACCATTGTTGTATCAACAAATTACACCTGTTTTGTGTTATAGGCTCTTATGAATAATCAAACCAGTAATTAATTTTGAAGAAGTCTGGGTTTTTTGTACTTTTAGTTTTAATATTCAAGTTCATATTCCTTAGCTTATCATTTCACTAATTAATTAGACCTCCAACAGGAAGCTTATCCAATATTTTTAACAGTTTTAAATGTTTGAATCTAGTCAGTACTTGTTCCATACTCCAGTAAAAAGTCCAATTCTAAGTCTCTCTTTTTATTTTCAGGGCTTGTATTTCTTTAAAATATTTAAGTAACTTCTTTCTGCATTTTTTAAGCATATTTATATTATTTTTGTAATAAAGAAACTTAAATGGAACGTGTTATTTTCAATAAAACATAGACATAGACACTGTAACCTTTTAATTCATAAATACAAAACTTCCAACAAATACATCCCCAAACTTGATGAGCTCTTTTTTTTTTAATCACAAATAAATGCTAAGCTAAAAAAATAAGTTATTTATCTATAATCACACCTGCATCAGGTGCTTTCTCAGCACAGGAAAGAAATTTCCTTATTGTTTTGTGAATCAATTTTACACTTCTCAATATTAAAATATTTCTCCATTTGCTCAGCCAATCACTAAAATTGGAAAGAACTTTCTGTATTAAACATTTCCACAACTAGCACCCACCCTAGTGTTACTAATAAATTAGGGAAAGGTAAAAATTTAGTTTAAAACTTTACATTTTTACTTGAAAGTTGAAGGATTTTATGGTTCTGTGAATTGCAAAAAATGGTGTCTTTTAGGAAATTTATGTAAACAAAGACACGTGACTGAAAGGTAATACAACTTTTTTTTATGAGTATTTTTACTAATGAAGAAGATGAGAAAGATAGATTCTTGGTAGAAAAGTTAGGTATTTAAATGAAAATTGGTGTGGGATTCAAAGTTTAAATTTTACATAATATTTAAGTTTACATTTTGAATATTCTTGTTATAGCTCTAATATCTTAATCCAGCTATCAGCCTATGTAGCCTGGAAAATATTAATATTTTTTCTCAAAAGTATATCGTAGAAACATTGTGTTTCATGATTTATGTTAGTGATTATAACTTCTTTAACTTTGTTATATCTATAAATTGGTTGACAGTACTAATCTTTGGAAAGGTTGATATTATTGGTAGAGTATATTAATCAAAAATGTAGTTTTGGAGCAAGAATCTTGAAAATGAATTTTAAAGGTTGAGAGGTGTGAAATGATGAACTTGAGATATAAGGTGAAAAGGACTTACTTTTTGAGTGAGAATAACATTAATGTTGAGAAAAGGGAAGGATTTATATGCAATTATTGATAGAAGCTTGAGATCTCATTAACTTTTTGACATTCTTTGATGAGATTATTGCTTATGTAGGTGAAGGTAAGTATATAGATTTGGTCTTTTTTTTTGTATTTTTAGAAAGCACTTAACAATGTGACATATAAAAGGCTTGTTAAAAAAAAGATATCTATAAGTGTGGGTAAATAAGATGGTTTATTCATTGCATAGAATGACTGCTAAATGGAAGAAAGCAGAAACTGGATTAATGTCACAAATGGGTTAGCCAATGGGGTCAGTGTTAGGACCTTTGCTCTTTTTTGATTTACATGAATGAAATATGTGAAGAAATGATCAATAAGTTGTTTAAATTTACTGATGATATTGAGGTCTTGGGTGTTGCTGGCTATGAGGAGGGTACTTCTACTTTACAAAAGGACTTGGATCATTTAGTAAGTTGGGCAAGTAAATGGTAGGTGTCATTTAATTATAGTACATGCAAGGTAATGCATGTTGTTTATCATAATTTGAATTATAAGTATAAGTTTGATGGGAATCACCTTAACAATGTTATTGCAGAAAATTACCTTGATGTTCTGGTTAATTAGTCTTTTAAGCCACCCAAGTAGCATACTGTTACTAGTGGCAAAACAAATAGGATTTTAAGTTGTATCTACAGAAATATTGAATACAAGTCTAAATAGGTTATAACTTCATTGCATAGGTCACTGGTTAGGCCTCATTTGGAGTATTGTGTTAAGTCTTGGGCTCCTTATCTTAGAAAAGGTAGGAAAGGCAATGAATTATTGGAGTGTTCAAATGAGGGCTGTTAGGATGTAGAGCTTGGTAATTAATCTGATTAACCAATATAAACAATGGTTATATGAAATAATCACCTAGTTGATATTAATGTTTCTGGTTATTCCAACTATTCAAGTAATTGAAATATTTTAATGATAATTTCTCATTATTTTTGATTAATTCGAGGTTGTTTAACTTAATTGATTAGTTGAATGTAATCACTTAAAGAGCATGATGACGAATTGATTAACAAATTCCATTAATTGCCTGTCACTACTAGGATGATATCCGAAATGGAAAGGTTGTCATACAAGAACAGGTTAAGATCTTTCAAATTGTTTTCTCATGAAAAAAGAAGAGTTAGGAGGAATCTAATTGAGGTGTTGAAGGTTATTAAGAAAATTGTTAGTGTAGTACATAATTTTCTTCTTATTTAATAGTGAGAATGGTAGAACTAAGGAATATGTATAAATTGTAGTAGGAGTAGGCATCATCTTCAACTAAGACAGTTTTATTTTTCTAAAAGGGTGGGTTGCTTTTGGATTTGGATGCAGTAAGTTAAAGAGAGTTTAAGGGAAGTCTTAATAAATTTATAAATGATAAGGGCTGGTTTTATTTTTTTTTTTTAATTTAGTAACTTTGACACCATAGATGGACCAACAAGGTTTCTCTTGTTGTCCTTAAACTTTATGTTATCATGAAAAGAACTCATATAGTTCTGGGACTGGTTTGTATAATTTTTAAATTGATGAGTGAAAAGGTTATTTTAATATTGTACAATACTTAGATGAGACATAATTTAAAGTGCTGTGTGAAGTTTTGGTCCCCTTTTTGCAGAAAGAATATCAACATTTTGACAGTCTGCAGAGACAGACAAACTACATAGGCTGATATTTGAGCTGAAATGAGAATATTGAAAATGTAAGTTTAAATATTAGGGGTAAAATATAAGCTTTGAATCCCAGATCCAGACATGTATTTTGTCAAAATTATTTCTTTATTAGATTTTAATATGTGGACTGGAATGGCCTATGATGTACTTGTGCTGATTTTTTAATTTAATTTTAACTTGTTGATTTGGTATTTTGGTATATGTGAAAATGTACAACTTTTTTTACTATTGTTAATGTCTGTTTTGATGGGTGCATGTGTGATCTTGATGGGCTGAAAGGCCTTTTGGACACTGTGTACTGATAACTTGGCTTAAGGTTTGCTTTATAAACAATTTCATGGGTTGTACTATTATCAACTGTCTACTTCATTCTCTCATATTGTCCATAAAAAGAAATAATATATATATGTGTATATTTTCTTTTTCTTTCTGGAAAAGAGGAAAATAAATAATTCTGTGTGCCATTAGAAATAACCCAATACAATAACTGAATCGTGCTTGCTTTCTTATTGGACAAACATATATAATATTGTTAAAGTATATGTAATTATGTGTATGCTAAATATGAATTTGTGAACAAATAATATTTTGTATTAAATACATACATGTATATACACACATGTAGTTTATACTTTCATATTACCAAATCAAATAGAATTGAGTTTGACAAATTATACACGCTATTAAACAATCAGGTGCAATGCTGCTATAATCCTATCTGTGTTAGAGTTACTAGATACTTATGCTAAAAATGTGCAAGATTAATTTTGTCCTTAATTCCTCAACTAAAATGTTTTTAATCTTTGTATAAATCAGTTATCAAGTGGAAACTACCATTGATTAGACAAATTGAAAATATTCTGCCCAAAAGTAGTAATTAGGTGTGTGTTATTGTTATTTCTGTTGAACATTATTTTAAATGCTACTAATAAGTATAGTTATTAGAGTGAAATGATATTAACATTTATAACTCAATTAAACTAATGAGTTTTGTTTTCATTGTTCCAGTCTGTATTTCACAATGAGAAAATACTAATTTTATTCATAAATTGTAAGAATACAGCTTAGAAGCATTTACAGATTATTGAAATGTATGTATGTTAGTTGTAATTTCCTCTGTGAGTGCTAGGATGGTTTTGGAACTGTATTCATGTAGTGACTGCTCTTTTTGAACGTAAGTATTAATGTGATCTTTAGTATTATCATGTCAAACTTAACTGTCTTTTCCAAAAACTGTAAAAAACGACCTTGGCTTTTAATTTACATATATTCATGTTTAGAACTACTAAACAAAGAAATATTACTTGGAGAGAACTATCACTACACCAGTATAAGAACACACTACTAAATGTTTACAGATAATTATTTATTTATCTTAACAGGTGACATGAAGTGTTTCTTTTTCACTGTCAGTGCAAGTGGGCCTACAGAAATGACAGTGAAAAAAAGAGAGAGTGAAAATAAACACTAAATTTCTATCGATTCTTTCTATAGTATGTTTTTTACATTTAGAATTGTTAATCAGAAGAGTTATACTTCACTATTCAGAGTTTAAACATAATTTATTTCCTGAGAGTAATAAAGTCAGCTAGTTAGACTTAAGTTCCAAGGTTTCATTATTATAATAATTTTATTATTTAGCAGTTTTTTAAAATTTTACAAGTCTATGTAGCAGTGGATATATAAAATAAAACTCAGAAACTTGAACATTGTTGATTTTGATGTAAGTATATAATTTTAACTTTCAGGCTCTACTGTCTCTGAATGCTGTGCTGGAGCTTACAAGTCTTCTGGATCCTAGTGTATAAAGAGCATTGTTCAATTTGGAATTTTGCTTTTTAAACATTCAGTCTTTCTACTAAGCAAGTGCTTTGTGTTCAAAGAAATTGAAGACAAATAAAATTGTATAGCAATCCAATGTTTCTAACTTGCAGTTGATGTATGATTATGTGTTGTAATTTTAAGCACGTGGAAGATTAACTCATGTTAATGCTTGATATGTTTAGAACATAGGCATTTAGTTATTAGAAGTTTTCATATTTCTGTACAGTCTTGTCCAACAAGATATTATTACTCATAATTATAGATGGAAAAGAGACCAGTTTCTAAGTGTAAGGCTCTTTATTCCTGATCTGTTTTATTTGTCTAAGTATCAAAATAAATAACTTCAAAAGTAAGCACTTTAATCTCAAATAGTAATATGTGTAAAGTGATTTATTTAATGTTTCACACAAGCTGTTCTGGTACTTAAAAAAGCAAATTAAGTTAAATAAATGTAGTGAAGAAAAAATTATCAGCCTTCTGCTCATATTATGTATATGCAGTTGATCAGCATGTATTTTGTTCTTTCTACAAGTATCAATAAAAATTTATATTTTTAATTTGGTAAATCTTTTATAGTCTTATTTTCTATGTTTAGAATTTGGTAAAAGATTTATAGGAAAAGCAGTTTGCACATTACAAATCTTGTAGATTAAAAATTTTACATGTATATATATACTGTAAGTGACCATACCATTCACTAATTTAAAATCAGGTATATATATGTATTCATGTTGCACTATACTGTGTGCCAGTGATAGTAACTGTAGGCTTTATCCTGTAAATTACATAGGAAAAGAGTGGATCTTTACAAAAAGTTATTGCTGGATTACTTATTAATTTTTACCATTACACTTCATTCACATATTTTATGTTTGTGTATGTGGAGAGGGGAGGGAGGAATAATTATTATGTTTTGGAGAGCAATGAAATTATTTTGTTCCAGAGTTATAAGTGGGTGAAGTAATTCAAACCACTTATACCTACTTGTATTATAGATTTAGTATTATTTGTTAATCTGAAGCATATGATGCATTGATTTCTTTTATTATATGTAACAAGTTTTGACAGCAGCACTTTTTAAATGCTACTCCTCATTGGTATATATATGTTTATGAAGTTGGTTGTTAATGGTTACAATATATTGTATTTTTTGACTGATATGTTACTTTTAGTTTATTTTGTTAAAAAGTGCATGTACACTGTATTGGTGAGCATTTCTCAAAATACCAGACTATTGATTGTTTTTATAAGGTAAAAATCAAACCAGTAATAAGTTGTCTTTATCTGAATATATTTCTTTGTATCACTTCATAAATTTCAGTAGTAGCTGAACTCATATATATTTTTTTCTAGGTTCCAAGAAAGTTTTTCTTAAAAGCAGCCTCTGGTTTCCTACCCATGCTAAACGGACTAAATTACTTGTCACAAGAGATTATGAATGTGAAATCTGCCATAGATGCTTCACAGCCAAACCTAGTCTGAAGAGGCATAAGATTGTGATGCACTCTGATATTCGTCCTTTATTCCATTGTAACTTGTGTTCAAGAATTTTTTCCTGGAAAGACAATTTGGAACGACACAAGCGAATTGCACACAACCAGATGTCTGTGGGTTTTGATTAACAAATAGTATTTTCCACATTTTTCAGAATAGTGATGATTTATTGGTTTACTTAGGTAAGTTTTCTTTGTTTCTAATGTAGCTCAAAAACAAAAAAGAAAGAAAATGAAGGAATATAAAAGCGTGAGTGTATTATTAAGTATTAAGAAGTGAAATTCTGTTTT